ACATTCCATTACCTACAATGCCAAAAAATTGTATAATAACCTTCCGATGCAATTAAAATTTATAAATACATACATACATACAGTAGCAGAATTTTATAACGTACCTTAGACATTTGAGTTCCACATACAATGGCATTAATTAAATAATTAAATATTAAAGTTTAAATTTAAATTTAAATTTAAATTTAAATTTAAATTTAAATTTAAATTTAAATTTAAAAATTAAATTAGAATAATTATAATGACGGATATTGCATATCCATTGCAATTGTTATTCCTATTTTGTCTGTTTGTTTTTTCTGCTGTTTAGTTATTTTTATAATATGTTTAGTATTTAAGTTACACGCTTTGTCTATAAAATTTTTGTAAATTTTTTTACGACAATAAAGCATATCTCTCTCTCTCTCTCTCTCTCTCTCTATAATCTAATTAATATATCAATTTTATGAGTACAGTTATTTGCTAAATAAAGCCAAGCTTTAGTTGTCTATTCATTTATTACCCAAACGACTGATAAAATTTGATATTCGATTGTTGCATTTTAGGTTTTAAACCATGTTTGACTTTTTATGTCATAATTTTTTCCTGCTGATATTAATAATAAAAAAGTTTTTCATAAACCGCCAACTTTCGTAGAAAGTTATGTAGTTAAAAATAACTCCAATATTTCATGAACTGTTTAACATTTTGTAATAAAAATGGGATACATGAGTTTCTTATCATGAAAGCATCTTTTTCATATAAAACCACGAAATTTTAGGGGGTTTGAACCCCTAAAACCCACCAAACTTTTCTATGCGTTACAATTAAATTAGTATTGTGATACCATTAGTTTAAGACATCATTCTTTAAATTTTTTTGCCTTGTAGCACTTTTTCAAAAAGCCAGTTTTTATCGAGAAGCGGCCTCTTTTATGTTAACCTTCAAAAATTTTGAGTAACAAAAAGCATCAAGCGCCTCCTGCCAAAAGTAACGTCTCGCCTCACCAGATCCTACATCAGGTTCTATTTCAACCGTGATGTAAATATCAAAAGCTCCTTCTATGTCTAAGAAAACACCCAAGGCGGACTCCTTATTGTCCAGGGATATTTCTATCCAGCCAGCAACTACATGAAGGTTGAATCTGTAGATTTACCTGAGGTGTATGAATGTTGGTTTGGGTGTAGTGGTTTTGTTGTAATCACCGCATCCCTTAAGTACCTTTCGCATAGCCTTTCCAATGTCTTCATTGCAAACGATGTCAGATTAATTGGTCGGTATGTTTTTAAGACATTGTATGATAGGTACCTCTTTTATTGCTTCCCAGTTTTCCGTTAAAATTTGGACAGCAAAGTGGTTTTCTTTGACATTGACCTACGCTGAGATCTATCAATTCTAGTGAGGACAGAAAAATTAGACTCATAAGTGTCAGTGTCACAATATGTAGTTTTATTTATGACCTACCTCTTCATTACATCCTATACAATGCTCTAATCTTTTAACTACTTCTACCTTTTCATAATTTTCTTCAAAAAAAAATTCAAATAGAAAACTCTATCATTCTGTAGCACACACGTTGAAAATTTCATTAATAGATAGCAGCATACTTACTATTTAATTTATATTATGTATCGGTTTTTGCATAAAAAATGCATTTATCCATAGTTCCATATACTAGTAATAATAAGGGTATGATTTTAATGGAATTTAGTGGATTTTGGTTGGATCTGATGTGCTAAATAGAAAGAGCGCCACAAAATTACCCAAATTTCATACTTATGTCGATGGCTCAATCAAAAACCGCCACAAGTCAAAAAACAAAGAAAACGACATTCTTGGTTCAAAGGTTTTACCACAGCTAATACAATACAGCTCCACAACTCCGTGTCGGCGTCTTTGATCTGGCGGTCGAGAACCAAGCAAGACGGAATTGTGCTATCTCTGTTAGATTCGAGGGGAAAGTCGGGCCCGGATTAAATAATTTTTTTATTATTGAAAAAATTGAAAACCTTGGCGTAATAAGGTTGGTTACATGCCATATTAAGTAAGATTTGGGAAATTAAATTTTTAATTTGTTTTAAATCTGTCAAATATAATTAAAAAACTTATTTAAATATAAATATTACGAAAAATAGCACATCTTTCGGATTAGAGGTAAAATAATTTGTATGTGGCTAGTAAAATCCTCGTTAACAAATGTTTTGAGCTAAAACAGTCACTTCATGACAAATTGTGGCTTGGATCCTTTTTACACCAAGGGCTTCAATTGTTAAAGAATTGTGTCACGCTCGTGGATGTAAATCAAGTGGTACCCCGTGTCTCTGGCAAGTGTTACTCTTCGCGCAAAGGGTTTATACCTAGATAAACGAATGCTTCGACTGAGGTCTGGGAACTCTGGTATTTTGGAATTATAAAGAATTTGTGCTTTTATTTTAACAATATTGGTTATATTTAGATGTATTCTTATTAATTGAAATACAGATTTGTAGAAGTAATACTTTGACAGTTTTTATTAATATAATATATTCATTTTTTATCTGACCATACCGAAGTAGGGAATTTTGAAACTTTATAGTAATGTGAAATTTGAATTACAATATTACACGATATTACATAATTAGTACTTATTTTAGGTAGGTACTAAATTTGTACTTGGAGAAAGTAATATCGATTTTTACAAGAAAACTTGAAAAGTAAACTAATTCAGTTCCTATTTCTGATGTAAAACTTAAACCAAGAAAACAAATAAATTGTAGTTTGTTCAACAAGGGTGGATATGATAGCCATATCACACAAAGACGAAGTTTGAGCACGACGTCGTAGGCGGAGTACTCAATCGTCTGATTGTGATATGAACAATCCACTCGATATGGTCAGTATATTTTTTCTACGACCCACTAACGAAAATCTACAAATTTAAAAAATTATTTTAGGTTATTTAGACAAAATAACTAATTTTAAAATAATTTACGAAGTTGACTAATTTATAAAATAAAATAAACATGAAAAATTAATTAGTCCTCGGCCTAGATTCGATCCAGGGCTTTTCGCGTGGAAGGCAGATGCTCTGTCCTCATCTTCACCGAAACTTTCAGGACTTTAGTTTTAATACTCGTAATTAAATTAGTATCATGTAGTTTGATTAAAATTAATTTTATTTTTAAATGTGGACACAATAAAAACAAAAATGCTATTATTTATCGAGTCTACACAAAAATTTTAATGTATATTTAATATCAATAACTAAAATATATATTGACAATTAGTTTAACAGAATTGTCACTTATTTAAAAAATTTTAAATAATAGGAGTTGGGTGTCCAAAATATGAACTGTGATTTGTAGATTTAATTTTGTTAAAGTGTTCTCACTACCTAAAATGGATATAAAATATATTCGTAGTTGAACGCAATAACATACTTTTTCGTTTTGTAGTATGTGCGTAGATTGGCTAATATCCATGGACAGATTACAAAACGAAAAAGTATGCTATTGCCTTCAATTGAACGAATATATTTCATATCCATTCTAGGTAGTGAGAACACTGCAAAAAAAATAAATTCGCCAATCACCGTTCATATTTTGATCAACCGACTGCTATTATTTTTAAAATTTTAAATAAATGACAATTCTGTCAAACTAATTGTCAGTATATTTTTTAGTTATTGAGATTAAACATACAATAAAATAAGTTATTCTTTTGGAAAACGTTAGCATGGATGACTAAAGGGTATTGGGTTAATTAATTCTAAAAGTGTGGTACAAATGTTATTTTTTGTAGCCAATTCTTTAAAATTATTTTGAAATATGTTTTCAATATTGAATATTAGTTCTACAAATTCATCATTTGACAGTTGCAGATTTCCAAATGTATCTGAATTGGCGTTATCATATGCCTTTAAAAAGCAATAAAAAGAAAAAATCATCTAATTCAACGTGATCTTTGTTATATTTAAGGCAGGTATCGCAGGAGTGGATCCGCAAGGCTTTTTTTAAAACACACACATACCTGATTAAATTTTTCTGTAGCAATTCGTCTTTACAATAATTTAGGGTGTTAATAATTTCATCATAAAATAAAATACAAGGTGTTCCATTTAAAAAACATACATTTTAATTTGCCAGGCAAAAACGTGACACCCTGTATATCCAAAGATATTTTTAAAATATATAGGTATTTTTCAAATCCATATAACTTTTATTTAAAACTTTCTTGCGTGTCTACAACAAAATAATGAACAATAACGTACTAATGGGACACCCTGTATAAATTGTATTTTTAATAATGAAAATTTCTTATAATGTGGTACTTATCGGTTTGGGTCCTTGGGAAAACTAAAGAATGTTTTCTTGTAGGTATAACCCTTATTGAAACAACTTTTGACTGCACAAACAGAATGATGTCTTTTTTTTCACTCATTCTACTCACAGCTAAAGAGTCACCAAAATAATAACAGTACCTTTAACTCAAACAAAATCAACGAAATTATAGGCACGAAACACCTTACCTAAGTACGCTTCTGAACGCCAAAACCGTCTTTTCCCTTCGAAGGCAGAGCTTAAGCGATGCGCAACGAAATCGACGCAAACCGTTGCCGCCAAGAGAGTGTTTTAGCTGTATTATATAAGCTGTAGTTTTACTTTAAATACCGTCACAAATAAAAATATCCTTAAAGATGTCCGAAAATCATTTAAAATCTAGCCACAAACTGTGTCTAAAACTGCTTCAATTCGAGTTATTTTGTGCAAAAACACCCAAATTTTTACAAACTATACAATAACTCGAGTTAGGGCACTTTATAATCGTAATCGTTAATTTTAACAGAACAGTATCGAAGTTTTTAAATAAAATATAAAGATTTTATGTCAAAATGATAATAGAGACTTACAAAATTTTAAAATGAAATTTATCGAAACAATAGTATTTTAGTTGTGGCCGTATTTGATTGAGCCATCGATGTATTTTAAAAATCGGCTTATGCTTATTTGCTTCTCAATTATTCCTAAATCTTACTAAAAAAGTTTTATTTATTTCAGAATTGTGAATACAGAAAACATGGTATCCAAAATTTTATTAATTTTCGTTCTGACATACGCTGCTGTACAGTCACAAATTAATAATCCTGAAGAAGAAGTAGGTGGAGTAATTGGAACCACTCCAGAATTGGTCACAGATATATTTGGAAACGTTTTGGACATCAATAATATACCAAGTATGTAAACGATTTTATAATAGATATTTATATAACAAGTTGCGAAATGCTTTATATTGTGTGACGAGTAAATATTTCAAAAAACGATATTTCGTGTCGTAGTTTAGAGTAATATTGTTGCCATTTATCGGTTAATAACCGCAATTAACCCATGAAGATTAAAAGCAACTTGCATGGAATCTAGGGAACTAAGCATTTCAAAATATAATGTGTCTTATAATATATCTGTTAATTGAGGATTTAACTAGGACGTGTTGGAAGTTGCCTACTTCTTTACAATCAGAAAAGGGAGACTGTAATAATGTAAGGTGGGGTAAGTGTATAGAGGCATCATAACTTCAATTCGGTAGTTTATTGTGACTCCATCTATGAGAAAGGGGTACAACTACATGTTACGTCATTTTCTAATGTAGAATGTTATGTATGTGGTTTGAGCCACATACTTTGATTTTCTTTTACTATACGGAGAATGGTCGCACTGCGCAGCTTTCTGAGTGCCTTTTAAAAGGAGATAGAAAACTCCGTCATTTTGAACCCTTATTACGTGTTGCCTACATCTTGGCGCAATATTTTTAATAGGTGCGTTTTAATCATCCGCTTCTGCTTCGGAATTGTCGGTTTTCTTGTTTTAATCTGACAGGTTAAAACGACTAAACCGATAATTCCGGAAGCAGAAGCGGATGATTAAAACGCACCTGATATTTTGCTTGCTGGTGTCAGTGTCAGTGAATATTATTTTTGAAGTCACAGTTTATTGCTAAAGAATCAGTGAGCTCACTCGGACCAGTTGAAAGTTCCAAAATAACATCCACTCCAGGGATACAAATTCAGGATACGCAGAAGACTGCTGTTTTATTATAGGCGGTTGTCAGATATTGTATTATCCGAGTTGCACAGTGTATAAACTGAAACATTGAGATCCAAAGTGCCGACGCAGAGTGAGCGATCTGATTCTTTAGCTGTAAACTGTGTCACAGGGTTCAAAATGGCCGCGCCCTATGTTGGGCGTGTCAGACCTCTCTCTTGCCTCGTATAGTAATCAAAGTATGTGGGTTTGAGCTCAAATAATTCCTATTCACGCATTGGTCCCCAAAGAAAATACATGACAGTGTGGACACTCAACACAATTTGGTTAATAATTTTTAATCTGCCGTCGTCCTCAAAAAGCAAAGTGATTTTATCAATTAAATCGATATAGCAAGTTAAAAAAGTAAGTCGTTTCGTAGTTTTGGAAATATTTTTGTATTTTTAGATATAACCTAAAAATTTTATTTACTAAACAAGTTGCCCCACATAAATCTTATGTGTATGCAAGTGTGTAGTAAATAGTATGGGCAACTGTGTAATATACTACACACAGCATTGGTAGAAATACATAGGGAAATAATTATTCAATACCCAAAGGAATACGTTATCCCCAGATGACACTTAGCACAGGCGAGGAATTAGAGGCAAGAAAAGTTTATCTATGGAAAGATCCACGAAAATTCCCATTTACGAAGAAGCTAAACTCGCCGAATGTTTAATTACAATGGAAAAATGGGGATGGGGGTTAACACGACGTGACATTTTTAATACTCTTGAGCAATATGTCATTAGAAACAACCTTAAAACACCATTTGTGATGCGTTTGATTTGATCATCGGAGATCTCCGAGCGCTGAAAACGTGTTTGAATTGACACTCCGAGAGATCCTTTAAGTGTTTGTTTTGCTTTGGAGCGAGAAAATAGAGCGAGCTCGATGTTCTCAGAGCAGAAGGATCGAGAAGAGGGAGAAATTTGTCTTTGTCTCTACCAATCTCTTTTAATTAACTTACAAACAAATTTAAATCTCAAAATTAAAGACCAGACAAGAAGTCAACAAATTACTTTTGTCTTATAGCTAAAAGTATTCGTCATAAAAAACACAAAATGTGTGTTTGGAAAATACATTTTCTCTGTCCAGATCTAATCACCAGTAATCACAGTCATGGAGTATGAGAGCGAAGCGGGTATTTTTGGTATATGCTGCATTTCAGGGCCATTACCCCTTATTATTAAAAGTTTTTCCATTTTCTTTACTTTTTGCACACTGTTTCGACACACAAATCAGAAACAAGAATTACAAAAAAAGAGAGGTTATGTTTTTTACTCTGTTTTATTTGATTTGATTGAATGCTCTATTATGACGTCATCACTTCTCGGTCTCCTCGACGCTGGCTCGATCTAGTTTCAAATCAAAGGCCCCTTTGGGCGACCGGGAGAAGATTGGTTCTTGGGATTTTCCAAGAGACATAAAAAAGTGTTTGGATCCTTTTATTATAAATAACTATTTTAACCTATTGAAGAAACAGTTAGATGACTTTAGCTTACACGATAAACCTCGTCAAATTTGCAATCTAGATGAAATCGGCTTTTCTCTGGATCCATCAAAGACTAAAGTGGTGAAATAACGAGGAGCATTTATATCGCGAACTGCTGGATCTGGAAGGGAAAATACCACTGGACTAATGGCTATTAGCGCTGATGGATTTGAAGCTCCTCCATTGATCGTGTTTAAAGCAAAAAACATGTGGGATGACTCGATTGCTCCTTATACAGACGAATACTCAGGAACTTCATATGTCGCGACTGCCAATGGATGGATGGAATTCCAACTGTTGTGACGGGTTCTAATTAATTAGCATATTTATTCATGGTGATTTTTAGAAGCGATAATTAAAAATGCATCACTTACTTCTACAGTTAATAAAACACAATAGCAATCACTTAAATAGTTAATGTTTATATTTCAAATTATTTCTATTTTTCACTATTTCTTCTTCTTATACCTTTCTTCGATTAGGCCTCTACTGATAAGCATGTTTAGATCACCTACTTCTTCTATTTAGTTAAGGTCTGTTTAAGTACAATGACAGGGATATCATCACTGACCAGTGGTCACCCTGATTTTGTCCTTCAAGCTTCTGGAAGTCTGCTTTGGATTTTGGGGTTAGCAACTTGTAGCATGTGCTTCTACATAAATTCATCTTCTATTTCGGATTTTTGCACCCAATAAAGCAAATCATCTCTGTAAACAAAAAAAATAATATATTCAGAAGTGGCAACTGATATACGTTATTGTTATACAGTCCACTTTATTTAATTAAAAACTAAACATAATTAATTGCGTATTTTTTTACTTGCAGCTGTTCCTTTCGTACCAGTACCTCAACTCATTAGCAATGAAGGATACCCTTCAGAGAATCACTATGTAACCACCACCGATGGATATATTTTAAATCTACACAGAATACCCCGTGGTAAAAATGGCACAAGTAATGGCAAAGTCGTTTTGTTACAACATGGTCTCTTACTAGCTTCTTCTGATTGGGTTTTACTTGGACCCAAAAATGGTAATTATAAATTATATTAAATATATTGCGTTTATTTCTAAAAAGAAAAAAGTTGAAAATAATATTTCTAATGATGTAAAAAATATTAAAAGTGTACCTAATTATGTAATTAAAAAGGTGAATTTAAAATTCCAACTTACCTTTTGATATCATCATACAGTCATCAACAAACATTTATTGACATGAAGTCAGTAAAAAATACATATTCTCGACATATACCATCTACATACACTCATCAACAGATACTGTAATCGATTTACAGTCATCGACATATAGTCACTAAAGGGGTTATGATGGACAAATAATGTTATTTTAAACAGACACGTTGTTTGTGAACAGATTGTTATTTCTGTGTGTTTATAAAATAACAGACCTGTTAAAAAATAACACAGGTTGTCAATCATAATCCCCTGATTTACTGTCGTCGATATAGTCAGTGCATACAGGCAATCATAGAGATACAGTTAATGATATTCATAATAAACTGAATGTTTACTTTTCCCTTTTATTATAAATTTTCTTCTTCCAATCACAGGTCTGGCCTATATTCTTGCCGATGAAGGTTATGATGTGTGGCTACCAAATTCTAGAGGAAATAGGTATTCTAGAAACCATACCACATTATCTCCTGAATCTAGCGCATTCTGGCAATTCAGTTTTAATGAAATGGGAAGATTTGATATTCCAAATACTATTGACTACATCTTAGCACAAACTCAACAAACTAGTCTTTTCCATATTGGACACTCTCAAGGTAAGTTATTTTATAAATATAGTCGATTATGTAAATTTGAAATATTTATATTAAATCAAAAGAAAGGCCAAAAAGAGTTATAGATCAGAAACTGCTGGCTCTAAAGTAACCTCATAAGGTATAAAATCTTCGACTATTATATTGATGTGGATCTTTAACATCATTTAAAAAAAATGTTTGTTTTACACCTCAAACCAGGAGAAATTCTTAAATTTTTGAAGCTAGACTATGGGAACTTCATCTTGAACTCTGTATAACAATAGCTTTGAAGTTGGCTAATCTAACATATGTCAACTGTCAAACTACAGACTACAGACATATGTTAACTGTCATTTATCATCAGTGTTGCCAATCTAAGCTAACTTATGTTAAATATATTCTAACTCAAGCTAACTTCTCAGCAAAAATCTACTGTCATCTAATCTAACTAATTGGGCATGGAGACTACACAAGGAGCACGCACTCCATGTATAACAAGCGTACTGTGTTAAACAGAGTATTTTAAGAGGGCGCTAGTGTTCCATAAGTTCCAAAATGGCATAAGAGAATAAGGTGGTAGTTTGAAATAAAATAAATAATTCTAATTAACTATTAATTAATTTATTTATTCACACCGGTACAAAAGAAAAATTAGCGACGCTAGTGGTGAAAAAAGATTTATACGATAAAGCGCGGACATACTCTGGCAAATGCCACACTTGAGTGCGTGCTCCATGTAATGGAGCGTGAAATATGTGTCAACTGTCAAAAAATTGGATAACCTAGGATTTAAAGATATGCGGTCGGTGTAAAACATGTGTCAACTGTCAGCGACCTGATTTAACCTAAGAAACACGTAGAAGCGATCTAACCTTTGGACTCTGGAGACTTGAAGACGAAGAGACGTCAGGAGAACTGGAATATGACTAAAGTCTATTCAAATTTAATTTACGCCTGATGTAAACAGAAGCAGTTGGACGCTAAAATTGAGCAGGGCCGTATTTTACTTTTCCGTCTTGCAAAAAAGTAAAATAAAAGAATGTAATTGTGAAATTATTTTTTTATTACGATAAAAACATATTTTGTAAACTAAAACTATAAAATAAATGCCATACACGGTCTCCCAGACTTTAGTGACATTTCTGGACGAAGATAGGTGAGCGACATAAACTGCGTTAACCTGCAATACAAATTAAAAAATGTATTTGACTTTAAAAGAGATGTTTGCATTATATTTAGTTCAGTATATATGTCTACTGTGATACAGAGCATTAAACAATCATATTATAAAATTATATTATACAGGGTGTCCAAATAATTGCAAATTCTTTAATAGCTAGAGTAAAGTCGCCTAATGTGGAATAGCATTTTATTTTAATTAAAAAAAAAATGATAAACTTCAATTTTGTTTTTAGATATTTTGTATAGATATAGGTAAGGGTATTAGGGATATATAGTTCATGTCACAAAAATATAAATCTCCCAAAAAAATCATAAAAAAAATAAGAATATAAAATGAGCCTTTTTTTAGATCTTCAAAAATGGGTTCCTAATGTGGAATACCTATGTTCCAAGCGAAAAATAGCATTCGTTATAAAATGTTGATTGAAAAAACTTTGTTTTTTGAGAAAGAAGTTTATTTAAACAATAAAGATACAAATATATTAGCACAAAGAATTAAAAAAAAAATTTAAACTAACGGCAAAAGTCGCAAACGTAGGGTTCTTTTTCGGGTCCTGCACACTCTTCATGTGCCCAACAGTTACATAGCATGCACATTACCCAAATTTCTCCTTGATTATTATCTGAAAACTTATCTTCACAAAAAATGCAATGTGCATCTTGGTTAGGATTATTTTCCTGTTTTGCAAAATCTTCTTCGTCATCTGAAGAATTCTGCATGGAAATGCTCGATTGTGTCTTTCATTTGAACCGATTTCTCTAGGTCTTCCTTATTTGGCGTAGTAGTTATTATTTTGGCTTTTCCGGGTTTTCGGCTTCTAGTGCCTACTTTTCTCTTTACGGTCGGTATTGGTGAAATATCTTCTGGACCAACAGCTTCTACACTTGGATTTCGGTTTTCCTTTTCTTCTTCTGCGGCAATCATTCTTGGCTGTGGGGTGGGATTATTGGCTATTGGACCAGCATTACAAACCTCTTGTTCAACGGTTAGAAAGTCCACTTCGCTGAAAATGTTTCTCCTAGTAGGATACATTCCTGTAGTTGCAAACCCTTTGACGGCTCGCTCCGCCGATTGCGTCTTTAAATAGGCTTGCCCAAACAGTTCGCAAACATCAAAGTGGGATATTGGACGTTGATTATTCCTTAAAAAAATCCTTATTTCCTCATTGTAAAATGCTTTTAATGCTCCCATTACAGTTTTATCTAGAGGCTGCATTTTGTGGGAGGTGTGTGGCGGCAAGGAAAGAATTGTTACAAAATTTTCTTTAGCCTTTATTATAACATCAAGGTTTCTTGTATGTGTGTTGTGTCCGTTTAAAAGTAAAAGAATAGGGTTGGTTTCAGATGGATGAATATATTCGATAAAGTGCTCGAACCAAGCTGTGAATAGATCCATTTGTATCCACCCTGATGGATGAAATTTAAATAAAGTTCCAGGTGGAGCACCCTTTTTGAGTTGTTCATTGCAATTCTTACGAGGGAATATAATCATTGGTGGAACAAATCTTCCATCTGCGCTCATACACATGGAAATGGTTATTAGAGTTCCCCGTTCTGCGGAAGTAATAGCTCCAATTTGACGTTTGCCTTTCATTGCTAAAATTTGGGGGCATTTAGATTGGACGATACATATGCCACATTCATCCACATTGAAAATCTGCCTAGGAGCAAAATTCTTTTCTTCCATGACGTGTTCAAGCAAGTCAAAGAACTCGTTCACACTTTGTTTATTAAATCCGGCAGCCCTTACAACCGATGTTCCTGTTGGTCTTCTTATGCTAATTTTATCTTTGTGTCTTTTCAGAAATCCTTCGAGCCATTTTTTTCCTGCAGATTCCTGAAGCAATGAAAACTTATTCGGAATATTATTACGTCTCGCCAATTGAAATGCAAGAGAACGTAGATCTCTCCTAGTCAATCTAAAAAAGTTTCTTTCCATCTTAAGAATGTAGTCCACCAGCTTGGTTTCCAATTCTTTCGATAAAATACGGTTTCTTCCTAAGGTTTCCTTCTTGATATCGATAATATTTTTGTCGCTTTTACAATATCTAAATAATGTGGCACGGGGAACTTTGTAGTGTTTGGCAGCTCTTAAATATCCCATTGTATGAGTTCGTACTGCTTCTACTGCATTTTGAATATCTTCTTCCTTTCATTTCTGCTCTTTAATGTTCTTTTTTGGCATTTTTCCTGAAACAAATGCAATTATGCTTAATTTTAGTTATAGTTTTCTATTGTGGAATATTCCACTATAGGGCACCTCTCCTATTCCACTTAAGGAGACTTTTATTATTTTATTTCATATCAACATAATCGAAACTAAAATGGTTATTTGCATTAAATATTAAGCATATTATAAAACTACAAACTATGTACTTTAACTCCACAAAATATCTTACCTTTAATATTAATACCAACGGAGATAACACACCTTTTATTTATTGGTACAAAAATGTCTACTGGGCTTGAAACTATATTTGCTTCGCTCCTGTCGAACCACTGACGCTATCCATATCAAAGTCTTCCACGTACGAAAACATTTTAGGTGGGGCGTTTGATGCACTGGCTTGTAAGTAGATGGCGCCTATAGATCACCGTATAACAGCGTATTCCACATTAGGCAACTTTACTCTAATATATATCTACTAAAAGCATTAAAAAAACTTTAAATATAAGAGGTATTTGGTATTTGAATTTGGTATTTGATTTAAAATTGTGCATTTTAAAAAGAAACCTTTTGTATTTTTGACAACTTTTGTTCTTTATTGTTTTTGTTCTACTAGTATTTAGATTAGACACCTTGTACCCTGTATTATAGGAATCTTCCTTACTTGACTTAGCACTATTCTGAATCGGATAAATTAGTTAGACTTGAAGGGCTATCTTCATTAATCAAAATTACAAGTGGTCTACCTGAACCTTTATAATATTATCCATCTTCCACATTTTTACTTCAACTTTTTATCGAACATGGTCGATACACTCTTTCCATTTTTCTGGAGAAATTAATAATATTACTTCAAAAAGAATTTTAATGTCTCCAGATTTAAATGTTGAGTTTTTATCTGCTACGTATTGTTTAACGTCAACCTAGATTAATTCAATATTATGTTGTTTTGCTGCTTAACCATTTCATCTATTACATACCTATCATAATGTTTATGTTGCTTACCAAGTTTTAGAAGTTGGATCTTAAGCATTTGTTAGTCGAATTCAATTTTTTCCCTTATAGCCATTTTTAAATATCACCCTTTTTTAGACGTCGTAGATATTTTTTCCAGCTTTCTCGAATAATAATGCAGTTATCTTCTAATTTTGGTAGGGTGTTTGAAAACCACTCTTTGAACGATTCTCCACACATTTCTTCATAGTAGTCACCGGATTTTTCAACTCAAATACATAAAGTGCATTAGAGACAAAGCCTTCTTCACTTCCAATATGGTATATAATGAGCTGTTTTTACGCACATACCTGATGGGTTTTTAAAACCAGTTAAAAGTTCATCCAAAAAGGCTTGTCTGGATGATAAAACCGACATATCGAAACATACTTTTGATTTGGTGTGGCCTGCGTTAATCCAAGTCTCATCAAGATAATATATTTTTTGCTTTTCTTCTCTGTACCGTTTTATTTTTTGTGGCGTAGGACGGAACAATTTCATTTTGTCTAAAATCAAACTATTTTTTCCTCGAGGTTTAAATTTAAAATTAAGGGTTTTGAAAAGCTTGTAAACTGTAGCTCGCTTAAAAGTAGACAAATATGGATCATCATTGACTTCTTATAAAACCTTATCGATTGTTGGAAGTTAATTTCTAAAGAAGAATTGATGTACTTTGCGCCTTATTGCATTTTTATCAAAATCATCCATAGAGCCACTAATGGGAGAGATTGTTTTGACACGGCGTAAATGAAATCTGAATAGACTTTAGTACTGGGACATATTGGATCATACTGAGACATAGAGGGACATACTAGGATATAGGGAGTTTCTCCAGTATGCTTTATTTTGTTAGAAAGTATAATTTTAATTAATATGTGTCTTAAGAGTGATCTGTCATAGAGTGCTGCCATTTTTTATTCATAGCTAGTTTTAAATGGCATCTGATAGATTATGGAACCTGTCCTAGTGAGCAAGGCAGCCGTTAAGCCATTTAAGTAATACCAGTTAAAATAACACTTTCTAATAAAAATAAAACATACACAATATACTTCCTAGCATCCAACCAGGCATTCAACAGTTCTCCAGACGTATTTTCTTCATCTTCGAGTCCTAAAATTAATATAAATTACAAAAATATCTTTCTTTCGGTGGAAAAATCAGTATAGGTCGATTTACAAGACATATAACATAGATTTTATCAATTTATAATAATTTTTGACCTATTCACAATAGATATATGACTAACATATTATTATAATCTTATTTTAGGTACAACAAGTTTCTACGTAATGAATTCTTTAAGACCTGAATACAACAGCAAGATCAAAGCTCACATTAGCTTGGCCCCTGTTGCTTACATGAACAACTTGGTCAGTCCATTGGTCAGACTTTTTGCACCCGGTGCATCGCAGATCGGTGTATTGCTTCAATTGGTTGGAGAGTATGAATTTTTGCCTGACTCAGGATTCGTTGACCTTTTGCTAGACCCTGTGTGCTCAATTGGCGTTGGAAAGGTATTTACTATTATATTGTATTAATATTTTTTTTTTATTAGATTAAAAAGCGGTTTCTAAATGTCTCGCAAAACACTAGAATGTTATGCGTTTGCGTTTTAAATTAATTTTCATTTTTTTGTTTGTTTTATTAAGAGGTTTATTTATATAGTTTTGACATACAAATTGCCATTTTCTCTCAAAGTTACCTTCTAAAAGTGCATCACTCGGTTCTTGCGCATTGTCATTACTTAAATATGTAGATATTTGTTATCGATGATATCAGTAAAACCTTGATTTGCTATAATAACACGTTTATTATCCAAAGAACATCACAATCATACATGTGCATTACATTATATATAGACAACCGCAACTCAGTCAGATATGAACCGGAAAACACACTAAGACAATTGACACATGACTTGTCTTTCAGTAGTGCCAACTATTAAGTAGGTTTTTAGCGATTACATACAACAAAATATTCGATATCAGACATTTTTTCGGCAAGCTGAACCAGCTCCTCATAAGAGAATCTGCTAATGTTTGCTCATTTTTAACAAGTTTTATTCAACATGTTTAAATAACAGATATTCTGTCGTGACTCCTTCAAGACACACAATTTTTAAAAAAATATTTGAGCTATTATAAACATTTTCATAAAAATAACTATTTACACTTGAAAAGTTACCTATGAACTCTCAATATCGACGAAAAATTAAATATTACTGGCTGTGATGACCCCGATAACTTTGAATTACTTTGAGTGCAATTACTACGATTTATAAACCATCTGACGCATGAATCATGTGGTTGGTTTAAAGCAGTGGTCGCCAACCTCTTAATGTGTTGAGCTACTTTGTTAATTTTGGAATAAACAGCGAGCTACCCACACGGAAGCCACGTAACGCAACGTAAATGAAATAATCCACAGTTAATTTATCATTATATGTATTTATTTTACTATTTAACTGGTAATACATAATACATAGGTACTAATAATAAACTAATAACAAAATAACTAATATTACTAGTACGTACTTGTTCATAGCTACATTCTTACCTACCAAACGAAGGTATTTGAAAAATAAACACAAACTTTTATCCAGCCACAACGGCATGTCACGTAAGATTTAAAAATGGTAAATAATAACAAAAAAAGTAACGCACTATCATGAACATAAACAATGAAAAATAAAAAAAGCACGTTCAATGAGAAGGCTGACACTCAGACTCATCGATAATTTTGTTAATGTTTAGAGTATAATTTGATACAGCCATTCGAATACAAATATCCAAATGTTCATCTGTAAGTCGATTGCGATATTTGTTCTTAATAAACTTCATATTGGAAAAAGAAGATTCACACAAATAAGTTGAACTGAATAATGCTTTCACTTTCAAGGCAACACGGCATAGAACTGAATATTTGTCTTTACTTACAATAGGCCAGATACATTTGGTACTTGAGACTAACGATTTTAAGGCTAAATCATTTTGAAACTCAATTACTTCCATTTCTGTTGCAGCGATGTCTTCGCCAAAGTTTTGCATAACACAAGTTGCAAACTGTTGGATATCAATTTCCATAAAGGGTGAAACAACAAACTGCGCTACTAAAGCCATTTTGTTGAAATCCTTAAAACGATTTTTGAAGTTATTCTTCAGGGTAGAAACTATTTCTACATGATATTTGCTGTCATAGGGTTCTAATGGATTTTGAGATATTTTTTCTGAAAGAATAGGAAAATGCTTGGCATCGCTGTTAATTAGGTTTTGTTCCCAAAACTCCAGCTTTTTGATAAATGCCATTATATCAGAAATCATTTCCGCTAGTTTTTTGTCTCTCCCCTGAAGCTGCAAATTAAGTTCGTTTAATTTCTCTGTAATGTCCATGAGAAAACCAAAATCTCTAAGCCAGATTGAATTTTCTAGTTCCGGAGTCGGTTCATTGGGTTGTTTGAAAAATTGAACTATGCCAGATAGGACATCATTAAAATGTTTCAGCACCCGTCCTCTACTTAACCATCGGACTTCAGAGTGAAGGAGTAGGTCCCCGTATTGACAGTAAACTTCATCGGCCAAGGTTTTGAATAATCTTCTTTGTAACGCTTGAGCTCTAATCTTGTTCATAATTTTTACCACCAGTTTCATAACGTTGTTTAGTTTCAGGAAATTTCCACATAATGCTTGCTGATGGATAATGCAGTGGTAACAGAGAAATTGCAGAATAGTTTCATCGTTACGACATAACGCCACCAGACCCTTATTATAACTCACCATAGCTGGAGCGCCATCGGTTGTCAAGCCTACCATTTTCGATATTGGAATTTTCTAGGAAGAAATAATATTTTTTAAATGAGAAAACCACTCCTGTCCAGTAGTGTGTCCTTTCAGTGAAATAAACTTCAAAAGATCTTCTTTAATCGTAATATCACTAAAAACCATCTTGACGAAAACGGCCCTCTTGGCAGTGTCAACGATATCTGTTGATTCATCCAGTTTAAGTGAAAAATAAACACAGTTATCTAAGTCAGTTCTTAACTGTAAAAAAAGTTGCATAGATTTTATAGCTGAAACTATCTCGTCTTTATTTCTAAAGTTGGCAAATAACGAATCAGCAGCTTCTAAAAACGCCTGTTTTATTATTTCCCCGTCTTCATAAGGTTTCTTTTTTTGTGCAATTATCTGGGACACACGGTACGATGCTTCAGTTGCAGCCTTATTTTTGTCGACTGTTTTTAAAAATATTAATTGTTGTCTAATTAACTGCTTTTTTAACTGTTTCAGTTTCTCCTTTCTGGCGGCAGAATGTAGTGGGAATGATTTTTTAAAATTAGACTGTACAATTTTATGATGTCTCTCAATATTTCTTTTTTTAGCAACGGAGACCGAAGTATTACATAACAAACACACATTTTTATCTTTAACTTCTGTAAAAAAGTATTCTTCTTCCCATTCCGAATGAAAGTGGTATGTCTTTACCTTCTTACAGTAGCTTGCCACAATATTATTTTTTGTTGTTCTCTACTAACCCAACCGCTGGACGTTGGTTACGGGTTCAGTTTTAAACTAAGCGCAATGTCGCCACGCCGTGCGTATTTATCCCGTTCAAAGCAATCCTGATCGTTCTCGAACACTAACGCGCTGGTCCGGCTGGTCGGTTCCAGCCGATTCTAGCTTGATGGCGTAAGCGGCAGATCGCTCACCGCAACGTTGCCGCTGTTTATGTTTAATATTATGACAATTAGATTTTTTTGTGGAATTTTCGGAAGCTTCTCTGATTTTTGCAGTTTGTATTTTTTAAATTAAAATCGTTGTGAGAGCTACCAGAATTGCCTCCGCAAGCTACCGGTAGTTCGCGATCGACAGTTTGGCGGCGACCACTGATCCAGAAACTGCTCATATTCTAGATTAGAAGTATATGGCGGTATAAAAATAACATAAATGAAATGTAAATAAATTTTGCTCCTACAATATCAATATTAACAAACTGTTCATAACAGTAAGTGAGATTCAAAGCTTCTGATTCATAGTTGCTTTTGTGAGCTAATACGACACTACCACCTTTTGATTTCAATGATCTTAGCAAGTCACGGTCTTTACGAAAAACGTTGTATTCCATCGGAAAAAAGTTTAGTGCTCATTACGTCTCAATTAAACCAATGAAATCAAAATCAACAAGAGTAACTGAATAACGTTCGTTTATTTTTGTATTTAAACCTTTCACATTTTGTAGGTAACAGCTATACGATTTTCTGTTGGACTTGTTTAGCTTTCCTGTATGGAAAACCTTTAAAGTATTATATTTTTAAGTTGGTTTCGCCTTGTTTTACACGTTCTTCCATTTCTTTTTTTAGTTAGATATATGCGTTAGAAAATAAAAACTTTGAAAGATAAGAGACACCCTATCGTACTAGTTCTAATGATTTTTATTTCTACGAGTATAACATCTATATCTATATTCTCTAGTGAAATATGCATATACGCATATACCTAAGACATTCATATAAAGACAGTTATAGATAAACATTTTTTATACTTTTAGGTACTCTGCAAGAACGTTCTTTTCGCCATCAACGGTTTTAGCCCTGAACAAATGAACGTTTCTAATGTACCACTGTTTTTTGCCAACTATCCAGCAGGTGCTGCAACTAAGCAACTGGTTCATTACGGTCAAGAAGTCAACACTGCAAACTTTGAAAAATTCGATAACGGACTTTTAGGAAATCTCCAAGCATATAACAGCATCTTTCCACCTGATTACAATATATCTAAAATTACTGCTCCAGTTCACTTTATTTACGCTTCTAATGATTTTTTGGCAGCAGTTGTTGACGTACAAAGGCTTTACAGTCAGTTACCAAATGGTCAAGAACTTTATAATGTTCCTCTTCAGACGTTTAATCACTTAGACTTTTTGTTTGGAATCAATGCTACTAATTTGGTGTATGATCGTATTAAACAAATTCTTGCTTCTTACTAGGATGTTGATAATATACAGGATGTACCAATCTTGTGGAAACGTTTGATATATTCCTAAAAAAATGTATTAACAAAATTTATAGAGTGACTTAACGGCGACATTTTAAAATTACTTAATATTTATCAATATTGGGCAATATTAAACAAAAATTGACTTTTCATAAAAGTATATTTTTAAATAGGCATAACTTTCAGTCTTACTCTATTTCAAACACACATCTTTTAGTTAAAACATGATTAGTACATTGTATATAATATTTAAAAAAATATATATGTAATAAATATTATTTTGGACTGATAAATAAAATTATTCTTGATATTTTTGTCGTTTTTATTTTAATTTGGCTCAGCTTTATCCTAATACGACTAAAAAAATATTTTCATGATAGACCAAGAGATGAAACTTGACGATTTTCTTGTTCATGCTTCTCAAGGTAGTGAGAAGTCCATATGGGCTTTTAAAGAATGGTCGACTATACTCGAATAATCTCCAAATGATAGTGACTCATCTTGCGGATTGCACTGTGGTCAACCGGCAACAATGTGTTCCTATTTTGATTTTTAGAGCCCAACTTACCGGGATCAGTTTACTGTTTATGCGGAAATTTAAAAACTGAGAATATTTCATAATATCTACTCCTTGTACAAATATTATATCGTTGTATGAAGATAATATAGTAGGATAATGCAACAGTAAAAAGTGTTGGATGCAATCTCGAGCGGCATCTAGTGACGATTTAATGAAGTAGTCAATTTTTAATGCTATGCAGATACGCCATCTACGTCTTCTTTTCGTTCAGGCACATGGCCTCTATCACCTACCTATTATAGTTAAAAACATCTTTATTTATTTAAAAATAACAATTTATGATAAAAGACATGAAAAATTAAACATAATAATGAAATTTATTCCAGTTGACAAAACCGTACGAATAAAATTTTTGGATTAAGGTGATAAAAAGTGGTTAAGGACTTTGGTCAATATTTTGGTTATGTGCGGTTATGTCAAAATATATAAACTATAACAAAGAATACCTAATAACAACTTATAACAATGTCCAATGTTTTAAATAAATTGAAAAGTTCCAAGTAGAAAACAAAAAAGGAATAAGCTTCTGAAAATGTTGCATGTAATCTAAGTACCTCTAATTGGACTAAGTGTTGGAAAAGTTTATAACCATAAAAATATCTGAATATTTTTATAGTTTTCAAAATTTGAACAAACTTCGCTACAAAATTTCATCAAAGCTATCAACAGTTTGCAAGATATTGAGTTAAGGAACAAGAAAATCACACTAATCAGGGAAAAATCAATCAACACTGGAAAACAAATTAAAAAAAAATAGTCACAGGGATATATTAGCGACTTTCAAATGTATCTTGGCTGTTGATCATGAATATAAGAAAAAAATGTTCTCTCGGCTGGCTCTGAGTGTTGAAATAAATCACCTTGAAAGGAAGTTTTCAATAGCTCCACTCTTTAGGAATAGCTCAAGACGAAATCAATAGACCTACAAGTGGTCTATCTGTGGCAGACATATTCAGTTAGTCTTTACATTTCATTATGCAATGTTACAAGGTTCAGCAATTTGCCAAAATGGTTAAAATTTATTTCCAAAATCAGTGCTCTTATTTAGTACAGAATTCTATGAACGACACAATAATTATAAAGTCCTAACTTTGAACATAAAAGAAAATCTTATAAAAAAACATTTTTTTTATATAATTTATCACTGTTTGGAAAAGTATATTTGTTTGTAAAATATTTGTATTTACAGTTATATTTAATCCAGGTTAAGTGTCAGTGCGTGAGTATAATGTTAAGTATGAACAAAATCCGCCCATTCTGTTTATATGTTTGGTTACCGACCCTAGTAGATAGGCTATTTGTTATTACTTTTAATTTAGATTTTGGATTAACGTTTTTGTATATGACTTGGCTGTTTAGTAATAAATGAAGTCAAAACTGTAACACGTGGTTTTATTCTGGAAAGTATTTTTAAATTGAATAACGCACGCCGTTCGAGTGAAAATGTTTTAAGTAGTTCAAAACAACAATCACTCTTTTTCATTGTTTATAGAATACAGCCTTTCAGTTAGCTCAGACAAAACTGATTAAATAAATAAATTAATGTCTTATTATTTTTTGAATTTTTTTTATTTTGACTGGTTGACTATCTCAAAAATTAAAGCCAATCAAGCAAAACGTGAGTCACATTTCGCTTTTTTAGAAGAACAATAATGCAAGTGAAAATTAATGATTCCACAGAAATGGCAAATTAAAGAAAATGTAATATAAAACTTACAACTAAGACGTTAAAGAAAAGTTTGGAAATAATCGATGGGGACTTCGAGATAGCAAATTTATTTTAGTTTTAGACAGAACTACTTTATTTTATTCGTTTTGAAACAATTGAAGATTTATAGGCCGGAAAAGCGAGTTTAAACTGAATATTCAGTCCAATAGGCTCTTGACTGAAATCCTTTCCATTTTTAGAATATTATCTTTCAAATTCAACAATTTTATGTTTTGTTCCAACACGGATTTTAATAATAGATTTATAAATTGTTTTTGTTTATTTGAATGTTAAAAGTTCTTAAAACTAACTTTAACATATATTTCCCATGCTGGCGCTTAGTGTTAAAATAATGAGACGATTAAACGAAAAAGGCTTACGAGAGCTAGTTGCCCTCTTTTGGTACACATTTGTACAAGGCAACTTTACAAATGTTTCCTCCTTTTTTCTCTTGTAGAAGATGGGCACGCAGTGGAGCGCACAATGATAGTATTTTAAAAAGCCACGTCACATATTTGATTAGATAATTAACTTGATATAAGTGCCTTCAAGACTTAAGTCGTTAAGCATTCAAGTTTGGATTTCCCAACCCAGATTCAATTACATATAAAAACATTCTTTCTTATTTTGGAAAAAATATGAAAAATATAATAATGCAATCTTTCTGCTAAATTTTGTAGTATTTTGATAACAGTTCAGAAAAAAATAGTAGTAGTCAGTAACTGATCTTTACGAAACCCAAAGTTGAGCACTTAACGTCCTGAGCAATAAAAGTTTATGTCATTGTTAATTATCTAATCAAATATGTAACATTCGCATTTTCTATAATTTATTTTTTAAGACGCCTTCGTTGAGAGCTTCATCATTGTAGGACATGCAGCAGACATGCAGCAAAGTATTTCCATGTACAAAAAAAAAACAATAAAAAATTTTTAATTTTGCCTTTCGAAAATAATACTCCTAAATGTGCCTACCACAAATTGGTACTCGATTCGTTTTCAAATGGTGTCAAAAGTTGAAAACTGAAAATTAGTAGCTTACATGTTTTTATTACTTAGTATAATTTCACTAAATGTGTTTGGTATTACGTTATAAGTTTACCTAACAGCAAAAAAATCTGTTAGTTAAATTTTGTCAGTGCCGATTTTAGTAAAATTATATTGAATAAAATTATAACTACCTATATATTTACCCAGTATTTCAGAACATTTTATCCAAACAATTTTTATTTTCGTCTATTCGTCTCATTTTGAACAATAATATTCAGTTGTTCATGTCCTATTCTTAATTTGATGATACCATTAAATAAAAGTGAATATAAATTAACAGCGTACAACTCAAGTTTAATTAACCATCAGCGATATATCCAAAATCCAACCACAATATAAAAAAAAAAAATGTTCCCTATTATAGTAAAATTCCACCCAATCTCAACTAATTCAATCTTTTTCAAACAAAAACTGGTTTATTTTATTATATCGATTATTTTCGCATTTTATGTGACCTTCAAATACCCTGTATTCTGTGCTTTTGTAATAATTTGAGATAGTAAATTGTAACTATAAAAATACATTACCGAAGACAAGTAGAAATGAAAAAGAAGATTTTAAATTATAATTCATACTCAAGCACAGACATGACCTAAAGACCTGACTTGGACATAAGTACAGTATCGCCATCTACATTCTATGTCCATCGTCCTCCAATGATAAGTCCATAAGGTTACCCTACTATATTTCTTCATACAACGATTATATCTAGCCAAGTTAGGTTAGGTTAGGTTAGGTTAGGTTAGGTTAGGTTAGGTTAGGTTAGGTTAGGTTAGGTTAGGTTAGGTTAGGTTAGGTTAGGTTAGGTTAGGTTAGGTTAGGTTAGGTTAGGTTAGGTTAGGTTAGGTTAGGTTAGGTTAGGTTAGGTTAGGTTAGGTTAGGTTAGGTTAGGTTAGGTTAGGTTAGGTTAGGTTAGGTTAGGTTAGGTTAGGTTAGGTTAGGTTAGGTTAGGTTAGGTTAGGTTAGGTTAGGTTAGGTTAGGTTAGGTTAGGTTAGGTTAGGTTAGGTTAGGTTAGGTTAGGTTAGGTTAGGTTAGGTTAGGTTAGGTTAGGTTAGGTTAGGTTAGGTTAGGTTAGGTTAGGTTAGGTTAGGTTAGGTTAGGTTAGGTTAGGTTAGGTTAGGTTAGGTTAGGTTAGGTTAGGTTAGGTTAGGTTAGGTTAGGTTAGGTTAGGTTAGGTTAGGTTAGGTTAGGTTAGGTTAGGTTAGGTTAGGTTAGGTTAGGTTAGGTTAGGTTAGGTTAGGTTAGGTTAGGTTAGGTTAGGTTAGGTTAGGTTAGGTTAGGTTAGGTTAGGTTAGGTTAGGTTAGGTTAGGTTAGGTTATACTTTGAATCAGCGAAAAACTGGTCAATACTAAGGTCTACTGGAAAGGGTAACAAACCAGTTAGGTATTAATTAAATAAAATAAATAAAATAAATCAGTGTCGTAGCATGAGACAGGTATATGGTTAGTTGTAGTAGTTTAAAAATAAACGAAAAAAAAAATTTTAAATTCAAAATATTTCGAGATATTAATTTTTTTCTATTCAAAATTTTTTTTTTAAAGAAATTCTACGGTGAAAAATTACCGTACAAAGTTCTTTAGGTACTAATTTTTTTCATTTTGACATGTACTTTAAAGTTACAGCACTACCCTAAAGGATTTAAATCCGCAAATATCATCATTCTACTAAAAAGAGGAAAACACTACAAATACGTGGAAAGCTATCACTCTATCTCTCTGCTAAACGGCCTAGCAAAGGCGACAGACCGCATAATACTCAACCGCATACAAACCATAGAAATAATATAGAAGACCAATATAAACATAACATTTAAGCAGAAATTGAAACCTACTGTACATAAAAACGCGTCTCTGCGCCTGACATCGCAAAATAGTGTCTAGAAGCTTGCGCAATATGCATGACTTGTCCCTGTAGTGTTGCCAAATATATTAAACATACCTAACA